TTTCACCGTCTGTCTGACTGATACTCAGCGTCTGAAGGAATGCAAACACAGTTAATGCTCAAACCTTTTCTATAAACACCAAAGAAACATACAAAATAAAAAATTCATTCATTTCAAGGACAAGATCCCGGATTAGCCCCCAATCGTGTCAGAGAGGAGGAGCTGTGTGAAGCTGTGAGGCAAAGATGGCACTTTGTTGTTATTGTTGCACATCCCTGCTGCATGTTTGAACTGTTTTAATAGCAGCAGGATGAAAAGTGTTCACGGACTGTGTCAGTAAACAAAAATGTGTTTTTAATTTAAAATATCACCCAGTCAGTAGGGTCATGGTCAGGGAATGAAAGGCTGTCGTCCTCACACCCAGAATCACAAGCTCGTCAGAGTAAAGGAAAACTGTCTGAATTCCCTCCGCAGAGAAAAGATTTCCTCTTCTGTCTTCCTCGTAGGTCCAAGTTGACCCAGATCGTGGTGGATGTCTCTGCCGGGCCTTTCAAGGACCGGACGGTGATGTTCCTGGGCTCAGACGATGGGCGGGTCTTGAAGGTTTTGGCCAGCACCCATCCAAACGACAGCTTTGGATCCAAACTGCTGGAGGACATCGACGTCTACAACCCGTCCAAGTAAGACGTGCTGCTGAGGACGGGCGAATGCTCCGTTCCTGTTTAACCGACTGTCTCTGTTTGTGCTCAGGTGCAACGTTCAGGGTCAGGAGGACAGGAGGGTTCTGGGCCTGGAGCTCGATAAGGACCATCACGCCTTGTTTGTGGCTTTCAGCAGCTGCGTGATCAGAGTGCCGCTCAGCCGCTGCGCCCAACACGGAGCCTGCAAAAAGTACGAATCTCAGTGATGCGAGTCTGGTTTTATTTCATTGGTTTGGATTTCAGCTGGCCTGAAACGGCCTCACTGATAGCTCTGACACATCCAGAGACGTTAGAGCTGAGGTTTGGAAACATGGTGAATATTTCAGTGCTCGAGACAACGGAGACGAGCCCAATCAGTTAAACACGGAGGAGACGACGAAGAGATGGAGCTTGCTCCTGAATTAGAGCCCATTCATCACTGTGTACACACACGCACGCGCACACACACACACACACACACACACTCACACACACACTTTTTAATTACTGAGCAGGATCCATGAGTGCCAGCTCGTGTGATGTGTGAACACAGCTGTACGGAGGCTCCCACCAGCTGTCTCCATCATGGAGACGCTAACAAAGACGTTCCTCTCTCCTCCTCCTCCTCCTTCTTTTAGGTGACGTGGTCTCCTCCATCAGTTCACAGATCTGGAAGATGAGCAGATCTGAAGGTGTTTGCTGAAAGACTT